TCTTGCCTTTCTCTCGGAGCGGCTCTGGCAGTCCTGGGTTTCCTGTGAGGTGGCGGCGTTCGTCCTCGCGGAGGCGCTTACCTGTTGTCGCGGGCACCACGCTGTCCCGTTGGGGGTGTCAGCTCATGCTGCATGTGATTACCTGTTTCTGCTAACCGATATAACGATATTAGTGTGCGCTTTAGGAAGGGACATGCTTCAAACCTGGATTAGATTTGCAAGGCAGAAGTAATATTTACTTGGACTTGGCTAGCCGAGGTTTGATAAAGGCGTGTCAGAAACACTTGGATGTTAATGATTAATGTAGAGAGAGCAGCAACAATGCTTCAAGATGTATCTTCCTATTGTAAGATACGTGAGTAAGAGATATTTTTATGAAGCTGAGAAAACATAATATCAGCAACCCCCTTATCCACAAGCTTTCTCATACTCATATGGTGTGCTGGCTCTTCTTGTTCCACGTTGCGTATTATAGGAAAAATAAAAGATTGCTTGTATTTGGAATTTCTTAATTTTCTTATGTTCACTGCCATTTTGGACATTGTAAAGTAGCATACAATAACGCTTTTCTACATCTTTTCCAGAAAAAGTCCCTAGAGTCCATAAACTCTAGGCTTCAGCTGGTTATGAAAAGTGGTAAATATGTGCTAGGATACAAACAGACTCTGAAAATGATTCGGCAGGGCAAAGCTAAGTTGGTCATCCTCGCCAACAACTGTCCTGCTTTAAGGTAAGCAGATGTATGAAAAACCAGTTCTCTTTAAGGCAGGTTCTTTGTACAAATACGCTGCGTACTTCCTGTTAATTGCTATAGTGTATTATTAATGCAGAGTACTTTGCTGACATATTCCAGAGTGCTGTGAAATCAAAGTGTTGGGTTGTTCGGTGTATAATGATTTTAGGTCTGAATGTGTTGAAATGCTTCCCAGCATTTTTCTAGCTTTCTAATTCAAAGACTTCACACTAGCGAAGATACCGGCAGCATTTCACACCGTGATAGCATTCATTAAAAATATAATGGGGCTGAATTCCTGTGTTTTTTCAAAGTAGTGTGTTGGAAAGTAATTTTACAGGTAGTAAAACTGGTAATTGACACTGATGTAAAGTATTTGAAGGACACAGAGGTTCTGGGCCAGTGAAATTGCTTTTTTGAGAATGAAATCTTTACTAACTTCCTGACATTTTGTTGTTGAATTCTGGGCCCTTTTTTTGTCATCAAGGGCTATTGACAGATTCAAGAAACTCTAAATACAGAAACCCCAAATTAGATGCTTGAGAAATGGCAGGACTGTTACCTTAGGCAACATGTTAGTGGGGGTCCCAAAAGTGCTTGAGGAACGGTATTGACCACTAGAATCTCCTGGTGGAAGTCAGAAAAGAAGGAAATATAGATTGACTTCATATTTTTCTTTAAAAAAACAAACAAACAAAAAACCCAAATAGCAAAAAAACAAACAAAAAAACCCCAATTTCTTTCACAGCTGGTGGCAGCCAGATCTCTGTTCAGCATCTGGCCACTGGGTATCAGCATTAATAATGGCCATCGTTTATGTACTTTGGCTTAGCTTCTGCAACCTTCTGGAAGTCTAGAAGTCCTGAATCCCCTTTCCTGTAGAAATGAGTATGTATAGGAGGAACATCAAGGATTTGCACCCCAGAAGTGTGTTTGCCATTGCGTACCTTCAGCATGCTTCTGGATGAGGGTTCCTGAGTCATAACACAGTAGTGATGTTGTCTGGCAAAGAACAGATGTGTTTTTCTGGGTGGGAAAGAAAACTGTGTAAGGTTTAAGCGTGATTGAAGTTAAAGCTGCTCTGGCCGTATTGCATTCAATCAGAATTGTTTGTCAGTGCTTTTAACATCTAGTTTTTGTATTTCAGAAAATCAGAAATTGAGTACTACGCTATGCTTGCCAAGACTGGTGTCCATCATTATAGCGGCAACAACATCGAATTGGGCACAGCGTGTGGGAAATACTACAGAGTGTGTACACTGGCTATCATTGACCCAGGTATGTGTCTCTTTACAGTGTAGTGACCGAATGGGTATGCATCAGTGCTCCCACTGCTCACCTGTGAGTAGCAGCACTGGGCAGGTAACATGCAGGGTGATGACACGTTCTGCTGTCCTTTTCTGTCAGGTTCAACTCTTAATTTTCTCTGACCAAGATCCTATTCTTCTTTTGTGAGTCCTAGGTTCTTAGAACCTGGAATTACTGCTGCTTATGTTTGCACATAGCTCCTTTTACTGCTAAACCCCGTGAGTGTGCGTTTTGTCTACCTGTCAGTCTGTAATGAGGTTTCAGTGGCTGGGAAGCAACTTTATGGTACATGTTTCTGAGCCCATCAGCTAGAATATGAGCTTGTGCGACATGCTGTTTACATCAACCTTGTTTGACCGTTCTTAATCTAAGACAAAGGATTGTGAGTTGTCCTGCTTCCCAGAATGATACATGCAAAAATAACCTATATGCAGGTGGATACTAATCCAGGGTTGAAAATTATATTAAACGTTTAATTTTAAAACTCTTAAGTGTGGGTATAATTACTATGGTTTGGTCGCACTCTTTGTCCTAGAGAGTTGCTCAGGTTCCTCATACAGACTGCTAATTAGGTGGCTTCTCATCCTCTTTCCAGAATCTTCTAAGAGAAGAATCAATCTTGTTGTGTTTGTTGACCAAAATGGATACATACGGATTTAATGATTTCTGTAATAACTTTCACCAAATGTTCCCCAAGTGACATCAGTTTGAATTCCCTGTTGAGTCAGAAAACTTTATTTAGCTTGCCTATATTTGAATACTAGCTGTAAACTTAATTTTTGAAATGTTACTTTTAGGTTTGATTTTGGGCGGAGAAGGAACTGCAAGTAAATCTTACTGCTTTGTAACATAATGCGAATATTCTCGCTGTCCTGATATTTTTGTGATCAGGGGAGGCTAGACATTCGCTATATTAAAACTATGCATTGTGTCCTCCAGGACTAGATCGTTCCTCTAGTACTGGCCTTGTAAATGCTAGTGACAGGTACATAATTATTGTAAAAATACTGTGTATGGATTAGCAAAATACAGTTACAAGTATTTTTTTATCAAGCCATCAGAAGTACTTGCTTTTTTTCTAAATGGACTGTATTGTATTGCTTTTAAGTTGTTTGCTATTTGTGGAATTGATGTGTTGGGTTTTCCTTACTTCTTGGCTTATTCCTGAAAACAGATCTTTCTGTGGGTTTATAGAGGTTTATAGATCTTCCTCTTCTAACAATATATTCTTGTTTTACAGGTGACTCTGACATCATTAGAAGCATGCCAGAACAAACCAGTGAGAAGTAAATGCTGTAAAGGTGTTATTTCTACAATAAAACTGGTTACAGATCTGTTTTAAGAAAAATTTGTATTATACCTTCGCTGGTTTTAGGGAACAAACTATATAAATGAAGATTCATCACTACTGCTGTGTTTCTTGTTCTGTTAGAAACAATGTTCACAGGACAAAACTTGCCTGTTTCTTTCTCCAGGAGTTGTGGCTCTTGGGAGGTAAGTGGAGGAAGACTTGGTTGTGGCAGGTATGGTGCCAAATCCCAGCAGGCTGGGGCTTCCTTAGTTTTTGGTTTTGGAGTGCAAATGCAAAATCAAGGCATCATGTGAGGTACAGTAGCAAATTTGGGATGTTGGTGGGGAATCCCGAAAGGTTTGCTTACACTAAAAAAAATTCACACTATTTTTACCAAGTCAGTCACAAAATACTAATGCAAATTATCCCCTTTGTCTTTTCCTTCCAAGAGAATATTGTCTGTCAAAGGCAAATAGGATAGCTGCTAGACATGATGTATTACATCATACTTTCAGTAAGAGAACAATTAACTTCTCAAAGCTGATTTTTAAATTAATCCCATTTTTTTTTAGTTTTTTGAAGATGTTATGTTAGAGATAGATGAGTTGGTGTTCTCAAGTCACTATTGCTGAGGACGTTGCTGTCTTACAGATTTGTGTCTGTTCTGCGTGAGACCATGACTGCAGGATGTTCCTTATTACTAGCCGTTACTGAGGTGCCAGTGCTTTGCTGACGTGCTGTAAAAGCAACTCCTAATGAAAATCCGCATGTACCCGTATCCTTGCAGAACTTGCGTTCTGTTTGCCAAAGCACAAGGTGCCTTTTAAAGCTTGCTGTTATATATCCATACACGCTCATTAGGTTATCTGAGATCACTTAATATTTTTTTGCTGCAACTACTTCTGCTTCTGGTGTAGAATGGATGAAGTTGTGTGTTTCCATTTGGAGATAGTAAAGTGGCAACCCAATGTGTATCAAAGCAAAGGAAGTGCTGGTGTCTCTACCTATTAAACCACAGATTTGGATCAGCTCAAGAGAAAGTTTAGATGCTGCTGGTGGTGTGAAAGTAAAGCTAGCAGAAATGAGCTGTTGCTGCCAAGGGGAAGGAGTAAAACTTCAAGGCACTTCAGTTGGCCAGAATGGCTGGAAGCAATTTGCTGTTTTCATTTGTGTCTTGGCGTTTGACAGACAGGTGTACAGCTAGTTGTATTGCCCAGAGAATGCTTTCATAATGAAAATACTAGTTACATTCAGGAAAGAGAATCACTGAATGCTGGCGGAGGGACAGTATGGGAGAAGTTACATGGTCTGCATGTTGTAAGAGAAAAAGTACTTGAAACTTCGGATTGCCATACCCTCATAATCCAGCAGACTTCCCACTTTGCACATTTACTTTCATCACAGTTTCAACACAAACTTAAATTTTTATTTTTACTTCCAACTGATTTCAGTAGTTTACTCTTGTTTGAAGAATATAAGTGAAATCCAATTGCTGTGAATACTGTCCAACTAGTTCTGGTTTTATATATGCATGTATGTATAGAACTACGTATGTCCACCCAGGAGGGTGCTTGAAATACTAGCCAAGTGAGTGGAGGAGGGAAATACAGAAAAGCAAGGCAAATAGATTCATACCCTAAAAGTACTTCAAAACATGGAGCTTTCACTTCAAAAAATAACAGCATTTTATTATTTTGCATAGCTTATTTCAGTTGTTTAGTTCTGCTTAATTAGAATTTTTGCTAGTTGCTAAATTGTTTATATATATAAAATCTTCAATATTTCTTACCTGCAGTCAATGCAAGACAACACATAGTATATAGATGCAGGGATCCAAAATATTCTTTTCAACTTCAGACACAAGGATTTGTTACTTTGAACCAGTTTAAGAAAATAGCTCTGACAAGTTTGTATGTATAAATATACAGTGTAGTATACATTTTAAATTTGGATCAGTATTTTAGCCTGTTTTCCAAGTCTTCCATTCTCTTCGTCATTTCTTCCAGTAGACAAAAGTTAAGGAAAAAGAGCTACTGATAGAACGCATTAATAGAAGAAGTCTCAGCTGCCTGATTGCTGTGGTCCATAAACTTGCTGTTGTTTCCCCTCTTTGTTACCCTCTTTCACTCCCAGTAGTTTGATACAATATTCACCTGTATTTTCGTGTTCCACTTCAGTCAGCATAGTTGAGAAAGCTGTGTGAAGCCCCATTCATTAACAGGCATACTTGGATGTGGAGTTCATGCTGCAGCTTATTAAGGATGCTGGTAGTTCTGAAAACTGGCCATTTTCTTGTGTTTTAAAGGGAAGCTAAATATTTATCCTAGTTAATGCTGTTTAAAAAATGTTTCATTTAATCACATGGAAACCTACATGTAAGCTAACAGTAGATAATAAATCTGTACAGAGCTCCAGCAGACATTCTTACTGCAGTCATGATCTTAAATCCCTGCCCTATGGTGGGGGTAGCGTGGGGCATGTTTACAAAGCCAGTGGTTTCCAGACGGAGGTGAAGTAGAGCACAACGAGCTCCGTGGCATCTAGGGCTGGCTCCACTGACGGGAGAAGCTTGCAAAGCAGTGTACAGGGTAGCTTTCCTGAGACGCACCTCCAGCTGATGGGAATGCTATGTCTGCTGCAGGAGGAGGTTGGATCGGTACCGTTTAACTGATTGCCTCTCTACAAGAGCCATGGTAAGGCTGGAACTAGGGGAAGCTGAGAGGAAGAGGGGACCTGGCACCAAGAAAGAACTGGAGGCACCGGGGTTCACCTTAAAAGGACTAAGTTGCTGCACCTGACTCTTTGCTTGTCTAGTGTCTTGATTTCAACTTTTAAGGTCTTGCACAAGAAAAAATGGAGAACTGGGCATATAGAAGTGTCATCTCGACATGGGGCTGTTAGAAATTGGTTAGGGTAGACAGGCAAATTGAATTCAGGCTCAGAGTATGGCCAGAACAGCCGTGTGCCACCCACCCCACCGGTCACATTGACAGCCAGAGAATCTATCCTCTTGCTAGTAAGGAGTGAGAGTGGGAGTCCGGCTTCTGCTACTTCTGGGGGGACTAGCTTGCCTGTACATCAGGCTTATGTTTGGTTATTCTTCACCTGTCCGCCATGCAGAAGGGATTACTATATGCATGCTAGCATCATTTGAGCTGCTTTCTATGCAACATCAATGTTTCACAAGTTTTTACAGAAGCAAAGTTCAAGGAGTAGAAACTGCATTCATCTCCTGATAGGAAAAGTTAAATTAGTTGGCTATAAACCATCAAGAGTTTGGATGGGTCCCTCTAAGTTTGTATTCTGTAACTGGAGCTAGTTTTGTAGCTGGTTCTCTGTCTGCCCCCTTCCCCCAGGTCCCTGGGATGGGCACTGGTGAGCAGTCTTCTGCAGTTACCAAGAACTAGCGTATCGCTCAGTATTTGAGCCACTCGTCAGATAAGGCAGAGAAATGAGGTTTGTAATGGAGAGGGAAGTGGATAGTTCTTACTCGGTTCAAAGCAGTGGTTGCACAGTGCTCTGGGGAAGTGCTTGGCACTGTTCCTATCAAAATGCGTAGGTCTCTGGCTCAGTGTCAGCAGCTTTTCTGTCACCTTGAGTCTTCCTCGGACTCTAAAAATCAGAGTTGCCTGCTGAAATTGTAAAGCAGAAAAGCGCATGTTGCTAAGCTGTTTCTTTAATTCTGAGTGAGCTCAGAGTTCCTTGTAGCCCAGCTGCAGGAGATTACATTAAAGTCTGCTGAAGGGGGAAGGAATGCTCACTCTTGTCAGCATCTAGGTTGGAACTGTGAATGTCTGGATAATGCTCTTAAGGATGTGGGAAATGACCTAGAGATTTTTCTCCAGATAACTTATTTGGAGACTTACAAAGCCTCCAGTATAGGAGAATTATAAAAGTTGATGAGCATTTGAGGTGTCTAGCAGTAACCTTATGCGATGGCTTTCTCCCCCTTTATGACGTAATTCTAGTTTGCATGGAATAATTTAAAAGTAATCAAGTGATCGGAACATGATTCCTTAAGCCACCTGCTGAAGGATTCAGTTGGGAAGGTGAGCGAGTGAGTGAGGCTGGCTGCTGCAGTTACACAAAATAGCTGGAAGTGAGGTCTGAACTGGTCGGCAATATTTTGTATCAGGTTAAGAGCCCTCTGCGATCTTGCCTGTTGTCACGACCACTGAGGGCTCTGTTAGTCTGGACAGACTTAACTGCACAGGTTCCTCAGTCTGAACCTGTCCTTGTCTAGGAAGCACACAGCTATGAGCTGTTGGTATCGCTGTACTCTTCTGTGCAGAAAATAAGTGCTTATTGATGTTGCGTGCAGTTACAAAACTTAAATAGAAGACGTGGTGTCTTCTTACTATTTATTTGATTAGGCAGAAGCAGCTTTCATGAAGAAAACACAGGAATTTGCTGCATAAATACTGTATGATGCACCATATTGCAGAAAAGTTGTATTGCCAATTTGCTGCTGTTGCCTCCTGGAACATCTGGTGGATGTTACAGATAGATAGTGTAAAGGCTATTGTAGTCACCGCTCCCTTGAAAAGGCAGACTAACTTGGGGTGAGGGGAAGCTATTGATCTGCACTTAGCTAATTTTTATCTGCATATTTATGCAAAATTAATCAGACTTCAGTCCTCTGAGTTCCTCTTCATTTGGACTATTATTTTAAATGACTCACTGCATCTGGTGCTTCACCAAGCAGTTCAGAAGGGAAACATCTCCTGTATTCTGACTCCTGTAGCCAGTATTTTGACACCATCTGAAGAAATAACCCAAAGCAAAGAGTTAGTCTTGTATTTGACCAGTCATTTCTTTGCTGTCCCTGAAGGTGTTTCCTGTTGGGGATTATTAGAAGTTAAGATCCTTGTTAATATTTTGGTCCCTTCTATGAAGGAGAGTTAGATTTCAAGTCTTGAAAGCCTTGCTTCTTGGAGATTAACATGATCTATTAAGTCGTTTAGCTTTTCATCACAGTGGATTGATTTGAGCTATGGAGCCAGCTTAGACTTGATGCATTATAATTAAAGTTTCTTTTAACCTGCCCCCCTTGTCTTAAATGTAAGAAACAATTATGCTGAAAGGATATATCGCTGAGTGAGTTTTCTTACTTCATTGGTTGCGTAGTTCTGGAACGTCACAAGGTTTTCACATTTGCACTGGTCTTTGTCTTTTGAAGCTTTTGCTGAAAAACAAACAGTCAAACATAGGCTAAATGCTGAATAAATTGAATGGGATGGGGGAGGAAATGACAAGGAGTTATAAATGCAGAGCAGGTTTAATACAGCTTCCTGTTCTCAGAACAGGTCAACATCCAAAGGAATGCTCTGGGGCAGATTCTGTAAATACTGGAAAATAGTACACAACACTTAGGCCTGTATATTCAAAGAGAAGTCTGGATTATTCCAAACAAAGGTAATGTGATTACCTGTTCTTGTTGAGTGAGTGTGACTGTCTTCAAAAAGGTACTTGTGGTGTATGGCAAGATTGGGACAGGCAATGACATCTGTGATGGCTATGGTGGTTGATTCAGGTCCTGCAGGAAACCCCCCAAAATTCTAAAAATCAAACCCACTTCACTTAATTATACAGTATTTTTTTTTTTTCTACTCGCATGCACTGAGTTCTCCTTAATTAGTGAGTAATCCCACTGATTGCAGTGAGGATCATTCATGGAGAGGACTAGGGATACAAAGATGTGAAGGAACTGAGCTGTTAGGCTGTATTTACTGTATATATGATTTAAGTTGTGGGTTGCAGAACTGAAAGGGAGTGAGAAACAGAAGTGATTGAAAGCTGAACATGCTTTAAAATACCAAGCACAGTGTTGAAATACAAGTTTCCCCACGAAGTAATTCATTTGGATGGTGTAAGCAGCATGCAGCCATGCATTTGTTACAGTGAATCTCAAATTTTTTTGTACAAAGCAGATTTGAATTGTAGAAAGGAGGGTGGCTTGGAGGGGGTAGGAAGGGGAATGGGCTGAATAATTTCTGTAGGGGAATTGGTTAGGCTGCTCTACAGAAGGTGGCACAAAGAAGCAACTTGGCATTGATCTGGGGAGACAGCAGGACACTGAGTTAACACAGCCAACCTGAAGTCTGTGGACCAGTCTTATGAAGCCTCCCAGATGATGGAGCCTTCTGGTGAGCTGACTCTCTCAGGGCTGGTAGAAAGAAATTGCCAAAGGAAATGAGATCACAAAAGGAGCAATGAAAATGTTCACATTCCATAGAAACAGAAGTGTTTCTTACTAGTAACTTGGTGTTTGTCTCTCATAACACATGGAGAATGCCTTATACCTGTGCAGTTTAGAAGAGGTCCAGTGTTGATGGAAACTCCAGGACTTACCCTTCAACTCATGCTATCAGAGGAACTCTTCCAAACCTAGAAGTGCTTTATGAATAGATTAATAGTAGTGAAGCGATCTCAAATGACAGCAACCTACTTTGTGTCCTTTTGTGAAAGTTCTTGAATATTTCATTGTCATCTGTCAGTCCTTTGGGGTGAACTGAATAAGAATAAAAACTGCTTGGGGAAGGGAGAAATTTCTTGCTCTCCTTCAGTTTTCTCCTTTATAATGGGAAACACTGATCAGGGAATTGGGAGTGTTTAGGTGAGAAGGGTTCAGTAGAGTTTATTTGAAGCACTACAGTTATAAGCAAAAATACAAGTTTCTAATTCATGAAGCACAGGCTTTGAAATACAGGAATTTATTTCAGACCCCACATACCCATCTCTTTAGTCAAAAGGTGTCTGGAGAGAAATGGAAACCTATTTTATAACGAAGGTATAAACACCTCGAGTCATTCTGCACTACCCCTTTCTTGCCGCAAGAGGGCAATGTAGAGGCGGCTTTGGTTCCTTAAGAAGGCGTTCTTTCTAGAAAATAAATGCTTCAATTAACTGCGGAGCCTTCAATGGCCCAGATGAGCTGAAGAACATATTTTCAACAACTGCATGACTTGATCAGGTATGCCAGGGGGGTGGATGGAGGATCTGGGACTCCCTCCCTGCAAGTACAGCCAGAGTTCCTTCCCTGAAAGTGAATGCTTGAGGGTAAGAAGGGATGAGGCAAACTCTCCTGATACACCATGGAGATGCAGTAAGGAGGTGGGAGATGCTTCTGGGCCCCACAGGTTTGTTACAGCTATTGGGATCTCTGTTGGGCTAGTGAATTTTGACTGATGTGCAAAAGTACACAGCTGCGCTAAGTTGCACTGGGAAGATGTGACCCTTTGGGTGGGGGCTGGAGTGACTGAGCACGAGGAACAGGGAACAGAGATGAGTGGGTGAGTAAGAAGACCAGAGTTCAGTGGGCAGAACTGCAATATTTGTACCTATCAAAAAGTCTGCGTGGGAACCAGGCGGTGGAAGGAACACAGATTTTGGAGAAGAGTTCAGGGCAGAGAGGCGTGGGGTGAGATCACAAGGTAAGGAATGAAACAAACTGGGTAAGCAGAAGAACGATCAGCTGGGAACAAGGATGGTGAGGTTTCCAGTGTAGGAGGGAAGAAACAGGTAAGATTAACCTTGGGTATTTGACCCTGGGTAAGGACTTGCTCTAGAAGTTGTATAAGAGCTGTAGGCTAATGAGGAGGCTGTCTAGGAAGGGCAGAGGAGCTGGCCTGAGAAGTTTGAGCTTGGGCACTGGGCTAGTACACACGAGTAATTAGGAGTCAGATGTAAGGGACAGGAAAAGAGACTGATAGACAGACTTGTAGAGGTCTGGCAGAAGGTCTCCAGTTTGAGAGGGAATTGTACATTTCAGAACTCCTCTTCAGGCTTCAGAAACTACTTGAGGCCCAAAGATTTCTGATCCGTGTGTGCTGGTTTAGGCTGGGATAGAGTTAAGTTTCTTTATAGTAGCTAGTATGGGGCTATGTTTTGGATTTCTACTGAAGAGAGTGTTGATAGCAGTGACGAAAACATCCCTGTGTTGAGCAGTGCTTACACAAAGTCAAGGCCTTTTCTGCTCCCCACCCCACCAGTGAGTAGGCTGGGGGTGCACAAGGAGTTGGGAGGGGACACAGCCGGGACACCTGACCCCAAATGACCTAAGGGATATCCCATATCGTATGATGTCATGCTCAGCATGTAAAGCTGGGGGAAGAAGGAAGGGGGGCACATTTGCAGTGATGGCATTTGTCTTCCCAAGTAACTGTTATGGGTGATGGAGCCCTGCTTTCCTGGAGATGGCTGAACACCTGCCTGCCCATGGGACGTGGTGAATGAATTCCTTGTTTTGCTTTGCTTATGTGTGTGGCTTTTGCTTTACCTGTTAAATTATCTTTGTCTCAACCCATGAGTTTTCTCACTCTTACTCTTCCAATAATCAAATAGGCTTGGTAGCCTCTGTCACTGAGTCCCTTCTGAAGTCAGTGCAGTGGACGTAAATACTCAAATTTGTTTGGGAGCAACGCTAAAGTTGGGTGTTTGGTTTTAGTGTTCTATTTTGTAACAAAACCTAAGTATTTTGTTAGGAAAAGCCTGTGATAAAGTGTCTGCAAAAAAGCATGTCTTCCAAAGCTGTGGCTGACTATTTGCAGCAGTGATCATGATCCACAGTTTGGAAGGAGAACAGAATGTTAACCAGCAGGCTACTGAGTACTGTCATCTGATCAGGGCTGGGGTCTTGTGACAAACATAGTATGTGACCATGTAATTAAAGGCTCCCCATAATGCACATGCTCAGAACAGCGGTGAAGAGGCAATCATGATGAGTGCGTATGATGTAGGACATTGCTGTAGCCTTGTTAGTGCTTCCAGTCAGATGAGAAATGAACATTAACCAAGGCAATGAATGGGAACCTTCTGACTGAATTCCTCTTAATAAAATGCAAAAGAGAAAACTACCCTTTTTTTTTTTTTACTACCAGCCATCAAGAATAATTAATAGTAATCAGCAGTTGTTATACAAGGCTGATGCTTTCTTGCAGAATAAAAGGAAAAAGCCTTACCCCAAAAGAGATTTGGAAGGCTTCTGCTTTATTTGGAAACATGCAGCCCCTCTGCAGCTGGGACTGGGGATGAGAGGCTTTGTCAGTGGAGTCCTTGAGGTTCAGTGGCTCTCCCACTGCCCTCACAGGCTGGAGCCTCAGAAGTCCTCAGCTACGGACCAAGGCTGGAGTAAAAATGAAATTACTGATGTTGCAAAGGAGGGAAAAAATTTAGGCTGTACACCAAAACAGAAGGGAAAAACAAACAAACAAAAACTTTCAGCTTGTGTAACAGGCTTGGAGGCAGAATTTCTGGTGGAATGAGTTGATGAGCAATAGGTAGTCCTGGAGTGTCCAGAAAAACAAGGCTGGGTCAGTCCTTGGTTCACAGGTGTGAGGCATTGCCTGTTGGTGAGAGGAGGAGGACAGAAGCAGAGAGGCACCAGCTCTGCCGTTACTAGAGGTGTAGTGTAGAAACCGCCACAAAGGGGCAGGATTTACTTATTTTTCATATGGTAAGTAATAGAAAATCGTGGTTGCTAAACACTGCTGTGGGTACCCGAAGGATGCATTTCCATCACCGAGCTCTGGGGTTTGCTAATGAGTGAAAATTATTATACTGGTTGCCAGACAGTTTTGGCTTTGGCATCTCCCCAAGCTTTTAAGATGACATGCTGTCATCAGCAGATTATCTGCCTAATAAGAAGGTTAATTGAACAGACTTGATTTCATGTTATCATAGTACTTTGTATTTCAGAAAGATGGATGTAAGACTTCTTAGGACTGAGAGAAACACAAAGAATATACAGGCTAGGAAACATTCTCAGATTCTTTTTTTCAGATTCTTCCTTGACATCCATACGAGTAAGAAATGCACTACTCCTTGCCAGCCAATTTTACACAGTAACGTTAAAGAAGAAATTAAAACCTGTTTGCATTTAATTCCAAGAAAAACAACCAAATAAAAGCTAGTGAAAATTAAATCATCTTGCACAATTCTAGTGCTATGAGTAATGTTATTCACAGTGACGTTTCTGAATTTTGCTTCAGGTACCAATTTGAATGTACAAATAATACCGAGTCCTGGGAACGTGTGAGTGGGAGAGACATGCTGTCCTCACTCTGGCTGAACAGCTTTTGTCCCAGCTCCCATTCCCCCTTTCCCTTGCAAAAACTTCAGCTGGGAATGTTTATATAGAGGCTGTTTGTGCCAGAGTGAGGAAGGGTGCTTTTTGGAACAGACCTTCCACATTTGTGGAGCAAAACTTGGAGCTTATGCATAACTGAGATCCATTCTTTGTAGCTGTAAATGTATGTTAAATGAACTATTTTTAGCCTTCTATAAATACGCTCAACAGCTTTTGATGATTTGTTTTGCTGTGGTTTAGGTTTTTGCCACTGGTCTTCAGAGTAATTTTTTATTCTCATTAAGATATTACAAATCCCTGATTATTTTCCCACATTCCTAATGAAGTAGATCATGCTTCTTTGGCAGGGTGGGGTTCAGTGCATGGCTGACTTAACTGTAGAAAAAGAAAGGGAAGGGAGTAATTGATTCTTCTGGGCATAGAAGTGTACATTTTATACAACCTTTATGAAAATAAAGAAAAGACAATTATTATATACCTTTACCTGGTGATATATTAAGGGTGTATGTTCTTCACATACTAAAGGGCAGAAAAATTACCATGACTGACTTATGCCTTGCAATTGCTGACACCAATGATCTATGACCTATACTATGACACTAGTTGTCCTTTTAGGCCTGCAAAAAATCTATAAGCATTCATTCCTCTTCTTTCTCAATGAAAGTAGAATACTGTTACCTTCACAGATTTGGGCTCTTAGCTCTTCACTTATGTCCTCCATAGCTGTGAAATCCTCAGCATAGAAAAGATGTTTATATGATGGCTCAGAAGCAATTTCCAGCAGTTCTTCCTCAATTGCTTTTCCTATTCCAATGGCATAGATAATTATACCTAGATCCAAAAGAAATTGCACATAATTATTACATCAGCAGTTTTAAACCCTTGTTCCTCCATGAAAGGAAAATATGAGCATTAGTCATTTTAGAGAGAGAGAAAGGGAGAGCACAAGGAATATATATACTGTGTCACTTCAAAATTGGTCTTGAACAGGCTTGATATGCTTTAGTTATTAAGGGATGTGTAGAAACTCACTGCTTGGCTGTAATTTTTAAGATAGTTTTTAAGTTAAAGAGATGACAATTGCTTGGCTGCTACTGATAGCAAATGAACTCAGAAAGAGCACTGCAAAACATCCAAGAGAATCACACAAGTCGGCCTCACAGTTGCACTGAAAGTTCTGGTTTGTGTGTATCTGTACGTAGGGTGTGTGCAATAAAGCTAATTACTGGGTTGGTGGGAAGACCTGTTATATATTAGCAAATGGGGCAGAATCCTGAAAGATGTCAGTAATTTTTTTAGAAAAATATAAATACTCAGAGTTTCACTGAAATCCTCAGAGCACATTGAGATGAGATTCTTGCACTCTAAGGGACACTAGTGGGCTAGGAGGCACTGCAAAGGCACCCAGACCTACAAGGGTAAGAACAGGGGAAAAGAAATGATTTGTGGGGCTAGGAGAAAAAGAGCCTTACAACAGGGATGCTCAGGACAACCACTTCCCCAGCAGAGCTGCTAGGGAGAAAGTAAATGAGGATTTGTAGTTTTCTTCGTTCTGAAAGCAGGGAAGGCAGAAGTGGTTCACAGCCCTCTCAGCAGACAGATTTTAAACAAGCGATGAATACAAAACATAGTGATCTTCAATGTCCCCTTTTTCAGCAGTTATTATTTTATTCTTGTGAACATATGATCTGATACAAGTTCTCTTTACATCAGCTTTACATCTGGCTTAGAAAGTGTCCACAACTAGCACTGATTTTGTGATTCATAATACAACTATTAGCTTCATAGTGTTTCAAGCTCTTTTAACATTCAAGAGCAGAAGCTGCCTTCTCAGCTGGTTGGTTTCAGATAAAACTTAGTATGAGGGGTTTGATATCTCTTTATTATCATGGTGTAATAACAGCTACACACTCACTGAATTGCAGCTTTAACCTTTTTGCTGAAGAATCCTGGGCCTGATAACATCATAAAAGATGCATTTTCCAACTCTTTAACATTTAACATAAGCATCTCCTTACTTTTCGTCATTAATCTGCCTACCATTGCACTTTTGCCAGGAAAGTAAAATGTTCACCAGAAGCTGATTGAATTTAATGAATGGACCAGTCATGCTGAGGTCTGTTGCTTTTTAAAGACTTGGAGATATCAGTGATAAAGCATTCAAGGCCAACTTCATATTCAGCATTACTACATTGCCTATGCTGCAATTACACAGGGGATGAATTTGGCTTGTAGCATTACAAATATCAGTGTTAGCAGTCAGGAGCTGAGGTTTCATTCACCAAGTAAGCAAGGTTGGCTTGTACTTCTTTTCTTCTTCAGTCCTGTAAATCTTATATCCTTGGACGTTTTTCCCTTCTCTCCTTACAGAGAGATATCAGTCCTGACGAACGCTATAATATCAAGTCAATACAACAAGAACAGAAAAAAAGATGTGCAGCATCTTCTAAAGTCTGGCTGTTTTCACTGTATTGTGGGCCTTCAGCCATGGTTCTTAAAGCAGTTTCTCATAAAACAGAAAATGCTTTACAAAGAAAAAAGGGATCCTTTATTTTCTTGAAAAGTTTTGAAAATTTTCAGTTGACTCTGCTAAACAGCTGAAAAGTTTCTGATTTGTGGTACAGGTGTCCTAGAGGATGGATTTCTCCCCAGATATATTCTAAATTAAAACCCACCAGTTTTCAGTTACATTTCAGCATATTGCCTGATAAAGCACATAAAAACAGAAAGATAGACAGGACTGCAGCTATATCCTTTTGTAAAGAGGACCCGTCTTCCTTCCAGAACATCATCAGCACTATAAAATTGGTTAAAAATACAGAATATATGTAAATAAAATTTTAACATAACCAATTATTACCATAGTATTTCTCAGGAGGGTAGATTATTGTGAAGAGACAGGTTGGGTTTTTTTTTTTATTATTGTTTTCTTAGAATTTCTGATGAAGTTCCCAGTGTTCCCATATCTCTCTATCAAATATCTACCCTCAGTCACGATGTTCAGGGCACTGCCAGGTGAGCAGTACCACTACGTGTGGATGGCACAGAACCCCAGTGGTGAAACACTCATCCTGGGTCTTGCACTAGGGATGACATACATGCCTATGGATGTATGCAAAGGCTCCTGTGAACACCAAAGATCTGATGTTCTGCTACTGTGGCCACTGTGCTAGCCAGACTGCTATGGCAAGCGCTCTCTTGATTAGCACATACTGTAGCACATTCATACTATTACTACATCTATTTTCTAACAATATTTGCCTTTTTGAATGAGTTAAAAAAATCTCCACTTACCATTTTGCTTCGCTTTAGCAGCCCACTCAGAGACTTCATCTTGGGCTCGTCCATCTGTAAACACAATGGAGATTCGAGGGACATTTGCTGAAAATGGTCTTGCTCCTTCTGTTTCTGTGAAGCTTCTCTCAACCATTTGCTTCAGAGCCAGTCCTGTCATGGAACCTCGCCCCATGTATTTCATTTGCGATACAGCTTTCTTCATGTCTTTGGCTGAGCTGAACTGCTTTAATGTAAACTCTGTGTGAACTTCAGTGGAATACTGAAGCAAACCAACTTGAGCAGCTTTGGGTGAAATCTCAAGTGTATCCAAGATTCCTGAGACAAATTGTTTTACAATTTCAAAGTTATCCTCGCCAAGACTTTTTGATCCATCAATCACAAACACCAGGTCAATTGGGCCTTCAGTGCATCCTGTGAAATAAGCAGCAGAGTGTTCAGATCACGAAAAAACTCCACAAAGCTGAAAAAGGGACCGAGATACTGAGGGACAGCATAAACTCAGAGATCATCTAGAATACCTTGTTCCTGGCTCACCCAACTTTGCCAGTGTGTCTAAGGATGTTGAGTACAGTCTTTATCAAAAGCTAAGAGTGTGCCTATGACCAAGAGTTTAACAAAAATATAATCCCAGTGAATACTTACTGAGACATACTGCTTTGCAGAATACTACAACTCTTAAAAATACAGCAACAATCAGAAAATTTTAAGAATTACTCTTAAATGGAGAGAACTGTATAACTGAAGAACATAGCTAGGATATAGAGACACAGTTGCCATAATTTTCTTCCAGGGATAGGCCAGTATGCTAAATTTACACTTGTGTAGATGACCAGCACTGAAAGACATGGAAGAGAATCATTGGAGCTGCATCTGTGTTGCAGAAGTAGCAAAAAGGTAAAGGCGGTACAAAAAAATGAGTCAGTGAAGTCACACTTGTATATACGGTGAAAATCTAGGAGTCATATTTAGAGTGGCAGAGAACAATGAGGCAAAAGCCAAAGAGCTTGGCAAAGGCTGAGAGACAAGAGAAGGGTTAGGTAGCCTGCCCTAGAGCTTAGGATGAGGTTCAAGTCTGGAGACAAAATTCATACAATGCACATGTTTGTAGCCCAAATGAAACCTCTAGTGGCAGAAAAACAGCTAAAAATCTATAGGTGAGAGAGTAAATGGTAGAAATGTGTCTAGCTGCTAAACATGGATCAGAATTGTTCATGTAAGTTTTTTTGCTTATAACTCTGTAACAATCTTGTAATTAGAAGGCTAATGTATTGCTGAAATTAACCTTTTCTGTTTTACCCATTAAAGCTGGGAGTTTGTCAGGAGACTGACAAATTTGGAGTTCTCCTGCTTTTTTGGCAAGTGCACATGCAAAAATCAAAGCAGTTTGTAGGCACTGTGCATCAGTGACAAGGTTAGGGAATTTAGGGACAGGAAAATGTCTTCAAAGCAGCAGACTGGTTCTGTCAGGTGTTTTCTTTATTCTGGAAAGAAATTGCCTCCAGCAGGCATAGACTAGTGCGCTTTGTGCAAGGGGCTGGCTGCAGGGATGCTCAGCTCCTATTTGATCAATGTAACTTCCAGGGAGAATTTGCCGTACTAAAGAATGTAGGATTTGCATCTTAGTCTGGACCAAATGAACTTTGACCTCCACTCATCTCTGATGTTTGTATAGTAAGAATGCTGTAAGCACTGTACAAGAGAGAATGGTGCAACAGAAATTACTTTGCAGAAATTATTGAGGAGGTCTGTTACCAAGTCAGTGTAGGAATAAGGAATTTTCAGCTTTAAAGCTTGGGCTTTTCTTCTTAGACAATACATTTGTTTTAAAACTGCTGTCCAAGAATTCCTTTCTGCAGTCATCTGAGGAAAAGATGTGTCACGCATACTAAGGTGATGGAAATGCAATGAATATGAATATCAGAACCACCTCAGTATCGTTGCCTAAGTCAAGATAGGGCAGCAGTTCATGGTGAATCATTTTAGTTAGGATTGAGATCAGTCACGAACATGTTCCCATTCTCTTGGCAATAATAATCTCCCCAACTAAGGCATCCATTTTTGCAGAATAAATGTTTTTACTGAGTTCTAGTAGAAGAATTTCTCCTCCAAGTATTAAGGGGTGATGAGATAAATGCATGTCAGACTCTTAAGCATGTCATGTTAGAAGATAAGCAAATAGAATTAATGATACTTTAAAATGGAGTATATAAAGATAAAAGATCCACATTATATGAATCTGATTAAAGTGCATATTCCTTAATAATAAGATTTCACTTTGCTTTTTTCCTGATGTTTGGAAAGAATTATTATCGTACCTCATGCTATACCAAAACAATTGTTCCAATTTGTTATTTTTTTGCTTACGAGAGCATCAAGTTAATTGTTCAAAACATCTTCCATCACACTTACATATGCTTTGGGCTTTCAAATATTATATCATTTTTGAAGTGAGGCATTTTTTGAAGTGAGGCTTTTGAAGTGAGGTCAAGTAATTTTAGAAATCAAAGAAACAAATGCTTTCTAAATAAAATGTACTTACTTCTGCATGTTTTCTGATCGTCTTTCAGTACATATCCCTCATGGCATTTGCAGATGTATGAATCATCATTATTAACACAAATATGTTCACAACCATGGGCAACTGATTTGCAGACATCTTTATCTAGGAAAAATTGAAATATGTATTCTATTTAACATAATTATAAATTCAAAGATTCCAAACCTGATATTTGAAGAATGTACGACAAAGGAGTGTAACATCTTTGTTCATTTGTGTAGCAATGCCAGAGAAGAGTGGCTGACAGACATATTGAGTTACTTACTTCGACATGTTTTCCCATCTTGTCGCAGGACAAAACCCTCATGGCACTGACAGCTGTATGAATTGTTATTATTAATGCACACATGTTCACAGCCATGGTCAATGGATTTACACAGGTCTTTATCTGAGAATTGTTAAGAGAATTTCCTTATTAGACCATTTCTCAAATGCAAAACTGGCATGAACAAGCTTTGAGTGAAATTAAATCTGTTATTTCTTTTATGACTGAAAAAACATATTCCCCATAAAAGCTTCAGCTACTCACTCCTGCATGTTTTCCTGTCTCGCCTCAATATAAATCCCTTGTGACACTGACACGCGTATGAATCACCAGTCGGAACACAGACATGTTCACAACCATGGTTGACTGTTTTGCAGATATTTTTACCTTGGAATAATGAAAATTATATTTAGCACAGTTAGCTAGGTAAATAATGAATTAACAAAATGTAAAAATTATGGCAATAATCTTCCATGAAGGAGCTCACTTCCATGAAGTTGATTCTATATTAAAGACACAAATAACACACTACCATTGCATAGTGTGTTTCATTAACAGATCAGGAAGTACAAAACAAAGATTAAACAACTTACTCCTACAAGTTTTCCCATCTTCCCTCAGTATGAAGTCCTCATGACACTTGCAGATATAGGAATCATCAGTATTAACACAAATATGTTCACAGCCATGGTCAACTGAGTTGCAAACATCTTTATCTGAGAAGAGTGGATGGAGTTTGTAAGGTGAGGTTCATTAGGGAGAGGTAGTATCTTTTATTAACCAGCTCAAATGGCTGGAAATCACTAACATATACCTGTGCAAACACTCACAGGCACAACAGGTAGAAGCCTCAAATAAAATATATAGCTGAGGCTACTCACATCTACATGTCTTTCCATCTTCCTTCAGTATGAATTTTTCATGACACTTGCAGATGTAGGAATCTTCAGTATTCACACAAACTTGTTCACAGCCATGATCGACTGAATTGCAAACATCCTTGTCTGCAAACAGGAGAGTTGGTAGTCTACATACATCAGCAGAGGCCTCGATTATATGTGTAATTCATCAAATTAAGTTCTCATGCTACTTACTTCTGCAGGTTTTCCCATCCTCTCTCAGTAGGAACCCATCACGGCATTTGCAGATATACGAATCATCAGTATTAACACAAACATGTTCACATCCATGGTTGACTGATTTGCAAAGATCTTTATCTGAAACAGATGACAGCTCTTGCTGGTTAATGCATTTCTACATAAGCATGAGCTGCAGATGAAAAATATGCTGATAAATATCAGACTACTTACTTTTGCATGTTTTTCTATCTTCTCTTAGCAGGAATCCCTCCTGACACTTACAAACAAATGAATCACCAGCATTAACACAAGCGTGTTCACAGCCATGGTTGACTGACTTGCAAATATCCTTGCCTGGGAATAGTTAGATAATATTTAATGTGGTTTGCTAGTTTAACTTTTTTTATAAATACAAAGACTGTAGGGGTAATCCCATGAGCAAAGAAAGATGGAAGCCTGCAAACTGAAAGCAAATCTCTGGCTAGTTAAAAGACAGACAGCTTAGCTTACATGGAGCATGAGTTCTTTACCATCTGAGCAGAAAGAATTGCATGGTTTGGATGGCCTCCCACTGACAAGAAATAATTTTAGGAATGATCTAACTAGATTAAAGAGGAGGACTTTACATTAAGAGCAGTAAGAGTGAAAGGAGGAAACAATTTAGTACAGTCATTTACCACAAATTCATGGTGGTAAAAACAAAATTAAGCAAAACACCACAGGACATGAAGCAAAATAATTCTTTAACATCCTTACATCAATGCCAAAAGTCTGCATAAGCAAACCCCAGAAGAATAGGAACTAATTTAAAAGGATAAATAAAATCTAACTGATATTGCTGAAAATTGATGGGAGGATTTGTATGACTGCAATGTTAAAACCAGTTGGTTAAAACCTCTTCAAGAAGGACAGATGGGGAGAAAGCACAGAAGGAAGTGGAACCATTTATCAGCATTCCCTGTTTCTTTTTCACTGCAACCCAGAAGAAAATACTCTCAATTGCTAATGGAGAACTACCTTTACATGGAAAGCAGAACAGTACTGACAGCCAAGTTCAGATTGACTCTTCAGCAAAAAACTTAGGTTTAATATGTAGGGAAGAAAAACTTACATTTTTACAAGAACTTCAATCTGAGTCAAATTACCTGGAGGTCTCATGCTGCCAATATAGAAATTCCAAAAAACTACTACAGAAGAGAATCTTCTAACTCAACAAGCACTACATTTAAGACATGGCGATCTATGCTAGATCCCATTATAGCAGATAAAGAAAAAATAATCATGTAAGTAAAAATTAGCATCTGTTTATACACAGCTGTGTGCAACTCAGACACATTTGTTGTTTATAAACAGAATGAAATACAGCAGCAGACATGGCTATTACTCCAAAAGGATGAATTTTGTATAGCTTAAAGCAAATATGAGCCAGAGTATTTTGGGATGGGGGGGGGAAAGAATAAAAAAAAAGTAAAAGAAGTGAATGATTGCACTATTTAAAGTTATTTTACTAGATACCCCACCCAAAATGTAGTCCCATAATGTAAAAAGAATGCCAGAATAGTTAAAAAAGCAACCTCATTTAGAAATTGAAATTAGCTATAAGATTTTAATAATGATTGAAAGAAAAGAACACTCACAGTATTTACTGAAAGTGAAAATATTACGAATTTGAAAACACTGGAATAGTAAGATAAAGGACAAGGAGGTGCATGGCCACAAAATAAAGGATAGTATGAGTAAGTTACTTAAAGACTGTTAAAATGCTCTTTGTTCCTAATAATGTATTGTTAATTAGTAGATAGAAATTGTAGAATTGCCAATCTTGATGCAGAAATGTTAAAAATATTTAGTGTATTCAGATCTGAACTTATGAAATAGGCTACTGATGATATTGTTGGAGTGAAGAGTTTCATCAGCTGAGAAGTAGGTCACACAGCACCTACTGAACACACACAATTTTAAATCAGTAACTCCAGATAACTTGCAGTGAAGAGTTGTAAAAGAGCTGGCTGTAGAACACCTTGGATGCTTAGTGCTATTTTTACGTAACTCGTAGAACTCCAAGGAAGCCCCAAAACACTGAGCAGTCTCCATCCCCAGTGTATGTACATACACTGAAAAAATACTATTTTTCCAGTGTTTGAAAAGGATGAGTAGTTCATTGTAAGCCTGTCAGCTTGACATTGATCTGTATTAAAATAATGGAATAGATAATATGGAACTTGATTCAGAGTAAAATCAAAGAAAGAGAATTAATATCAATCAACTTGGTGTTATGGAAAAATAGATCTTGGAAAACTAAATAAATATCTCTTAAAATTGATTATGAGGCTGGTCCATAAAGCTCATGCTGTTCATACAATGGAGCATTCAGTAAGGCAGCAGTCTTGGTATTTATTTTGATTAAGGAAACAGACTACAGAATCAACATTATATGGATTAACACTGGTTAGAGAGGTCTTCAGAATAAATTGTAAATGGGGTAACATCAAATGGCTTGCTTTCTAAGAATTTGGCCTGCTCCTCTACTATTTAACTTTTTTATGAACAACCCAAAAGAAAACACAAAATAATCACTGACAAACTTTGCAGGTTATTCCAGTTTTGAGAAAATAGCAAATAAAAATAGAGCAGCTGCTGATATAAGGAGACATGAATCTTTTTGCAAGCTGGAAATCAGCCAATCACACGTATTCTAAAATAGCCAGAACTAAGCTTATACATTTAGAAACAAAGAATGAAGGCTGTACATACAGGATGTGGGACACCCGTGTGACTGAGAGTCTTAAACAGCTTATGATCATGCTAGATAACTAACTGAACACAAGTGCTAGCAGAATATTTTGGTCACAGACTATCTTTGGTCATAAAAAAAGATAGATTTTAAAAAAAAAGATAAAAGATAAAAAACGATAGGTAGATTCAAATAAGAATTAGGTGGGTTATAGTTCCTGTACCGTGGACCCTGCTGTGTCTCGTATTAGAAGGCTTTGTACCACTGAGGTGCCCCCACAAGGATGCTGATAAATAGCAGAGGTTTTTAGGGGAGCAAGAAGAGACTTACAAAAGATCAGAAAACATATGAAGAGCCGGAAGGAGTTTAATCTGCTTATCATTTACAAAAGAACATGCTAAGAAGTTAAGTTAGGAACAGGTGAAGTCATGATCTGCATGAATATACACAGAACAACAGAGTAGTAATTAGAACTTCAACCCATCAAAGTAAAATGCAGCAACATCCTATGCTCAAGATTAAAACTCAGCATACTCAATCTAGAAATGAAGTTCACATTTTAAAAGCTACATTCAAACCTTAAAATTGGCTGATTTTCTGAAATGTATCTTTAGTTCAAACAGTAATTAACTCATAGAAGTCTTATGATCTATAGAGAACAATATTCCATTCTGACCACTATGAATCAGTGAATAATCTCGTAATAAAATGAAAATGAAATTTCTTCTTTTATTGCCAAGCTACTTACTTCGGCATGTTTTCCCATCTTGCCTTAGTACAAATCCATCATGGCATTGGCAAGTGTATGAATCGTCATTATTAACACAAAGATGTTCACAGCCATGACTAACTGATTTGCAGATGTCCTTATCTAGGAATAATTTAGATTTTATTTACTACAGTTTGACATGAACATTTCCATATGAACAAATCTGAACATTTCCAAAACTTTAAAGACTAAAAGTAATAAGGTCCTAGTAAATAAAGAATTTATTCTGATTTTTGTCAGGCAAAATCCTCTATAAGAAGACCTGCCTCTAACACAATATATTTCTTCAGTAGACCTCTGAGTGCAAAAAATACAGTAACATAAAATAGCTTACTTTTACACGTTTTCTTATCTTCCCTCAATACAAAACCCTCATAGCACTGGCAAATGTATGAATTGTCAGTATTCATGCAAACATGCTCACAGCCATGGTCAACAGAATTGCAAACATCTTTATCTGGAAAAAAAAATAAGGTTGCTGGTATTTAAAACTTGTCTATGAATGTACAGATTATGAAAGAAATCTTCTATTAAAGATAAGGATACTTACTTTTACATGTTTTTCCATCTTCCCTTAGTGCAAATCCCTCATAACACTGGCAGATGTATGACTCATCAGCATTAACACAAACATGTTCACAGCCATGGTCAACTGAACTGCAAATGTCTTTATCTGAGAATAGTTCATGATACTTGGTTAAAGTACATCTCCAGTGAATGTATCATGCAGGGAGAAGTAATAGCTTTTATTAGGTCTACTGATAGCACTGGAAGAAATGGGCGAAAATTTACACAGCAAACACTTCTAACTCTAGGTACCTGAAAAACTGCGAGTCTTTTTTTGTCTCCAGTCATATGAGTTTGGCTATTAAAATACACCATTTCTGTCCGTAGAGTCTCTTAGAACCTTCTAGCAGGTATAACAATACTAGTCCTATATTATAACAGTAAACTGTTGTTGTTGTATTTGTTAGAACATTTCCACAAATCTACGTATTGTAGATGAAAGTCTGTGAGTGATAATCAGAGTACTTACTTCTGCATGTTTTCCCATCTTCTCTCAGCAGAAAACCCTCACGACAATTGCAAACATACGAGTCATCTTTGTTAACACAAATATGCTCACAGCCATGGCTGACTGATTTGCAGATGTCCTGTCCTGGAAATGATTGATATAAATATAGGTTTTGAATGAAAACATGTTAAAAAAATGCAGATATCAAAAGGAAGTTTTTTTCCAAGTAAGAAGTGAAAAAACCCTTTCTTTCCTTGCCTAATACACATGCAAAAACGTTCAACAGATACCAGTCACTCACTTCTGCAGGTCTTGCTATCTTCTCTCAATACGAATCCCTCACGACACTTGCAGATGTAGGAATTGTCAGTACTAACACAAATATGCTCACAGCCATGGCTGACTGATTTGCAGACATTTTTACCTGGGAATAATTTAATAGATAAAAAATTGTGTTAGTTAAGGGTGAGATGTTCAAAGTCTTACAATTCCCAGCTACTGAATGTTCTTGTCCTTGCTAGTATACTGGACTCAATCCTGCAAATCATTTAAAGAACCTGCTGTCTTTTTTTGTTGTAACAAAAAAGTACATCTTTGTCCTGCTAATTTTATAACCTTACTATTAAGGAAAAGTGCACTGTTCCAGTTTTAGAGTTTGTAGAATTTCACGTGACCCTAGCAAGCAGATTAGTGAGCCACAGGGATTTTCAAAGGCACCTAACTCCCCCATCCACATTTCAAGTAAACTTTCTGGTGAGAGATGTCTTTCTGTCATCATCTTTTTATCTTCAGTAATGAACCTGCTCAAACCTGAAATAGTTGTGGGTTTTTTAATCTGTGCTTAAGTTCAGGAGGTGTTTGTCATTCTTCTGTAAAGCAGGATTACAAAAGTTCGATGTATGTAGTATTTAAGGGTACTGAGAAAGAGAAATTATATGGTCCTGCTGTGAAATTCTGGAAAATTGTCAGCTATAATTGGGCAAGCAGATGCTCTGCGGGGTTTTCTGATATAGAATTTAGATACAATTCATATTTCAAAATAAAATTAAATACAATCTATTAATGAACATTCGATAAGCTAACATCTTAATTTCACTTTCTTCCCGACACCCTTTATTTTCCTGCAAGGACTTAGAATAGAATAGAATATTTCAGTTGGAAGGGACCTACAACGATCATCTAGTCCAACTGTCTGACCATTTCAGGGATGACCAAAAGTTAAAGTATGTCATTAAGGGCATTGTCCCTCAAGCACTGACAGCCTTGGGGCATCGACCATCTCTCTAGGAAG